CAAGCGAGTAGCTCAAAAAGTTAAGCCAGCCGCGGTGGGCCGCGAGCGATCTGCATTGGAAGGGATATCGGAAGAAGAGATCGCGAAAGAAATCAAAGAAAGAAAGAGAAAGGAGCCGCAACGCCTAACGGAAGAGAGGATAGCAGGGATGGACATCGGAGATGGAAATCTGACCCCACAGGAGCGCGGTAGGATTGACCCTCGATACGCTAAGCCAGCAAGGATTTACACGATACCACATGTTCCCTGGAATGATGCGGGATGGAAATACGCCCAGAAGGAGAAGGAAGAAGTTACCACTTTCCTGAAAGAAAAGATGGTTTCCCATGTTGCGGAGCCGTCTGATAGCGCTTATGCTAATCGATGGTTCTTCCTACGAAACCTGAATGGCAAGATCAGAAGGTCAACGCGGTCACGATACGAGACGTGGGCTCCATGCCACACGCCGATTTACTGGCAGAAGGCGCCGCAGGTAGGTCGATCTATTCCGTCTGTGATCTGTTCTCAGGCTATGATGAGGTACCACTTGACCCTAAAGACAGGCACCTCACGACTATGCATACGCCATTGGGACTAATACAGATGATGGTTGTCCCTATGGGATGGACTAATGGGGTAGCCATTTTTCAGAGAGTCATGGTAGCCGTCCTCAAGGACTTCATCCCTGATAAGGTTGAAGTTTTTCTAGATGACTTTCCTATAAAAAGGCCAGTAGACAGGGATGAGACAGAGGTTGTACCTGGAGTTAGAAGATTCGTCGAGCAGCACCTAACGGATATTTGCGCGGTACTCGAGCAGCTGGACGATGCGAATTTAACAGTCAGCGGAACCAAGAGCCGATAGGCCGTCTCAACAATAAAGATCTTGGGCTTTATCTGTGACTCGAAGGGACGCCGAGCAGATCCGGCGAAGTTAGACAAACTTCTGAACTGGCCGTCACCGTTGCATAGCCCTACCGAGGTGCGGCAGTTTCTAGGAGTGGTCGGTTACTGGCGTATATTCATACGGGGGTATGCGGAGAAGGCTGGGCCATTGAGGTTACTCCTTCGAAAGACTGAAAACTTCTATTGGAATTCTTCAGAGGAACTTGCTATGCAAAAACTTAAAGACGAATTTAAGGAAGGAGGACGCGTGTTGGGTGTGCCATTCTTTGACGATGAGACCGAGAGACCCTTCATAGTATCCACGGATGCTGGACCATGTTCAGTGGGTGGTTTGCTGTCTCAGAAGGACGCTGGAGGGAAGAAAAGACCGGTAAGATTTGAGAGTAGGACACTTAATACGGCTGAGCGTAACTACAGTCAATTCAAGAAGGAAGTGTTAGCTATTCTCCGGTGTCGAGACACGTTCAGACACTATATCTATGGGCGACGGTTCATCTTGAGAATAGACCCCACCGCGGTTGCCTCTGTCCTCCAGAAGGACTTTAGTCTGACGGACCCGACCATCGCACGATGGTTGATACGGATTCGGCTATACGATTACACAGTTGAGGGAGTATCTGGTACTAAAAATGCCGTGGCAGATAGACTTTCACGCATCCCTCCCGAGCGTCCGATAGTAGCTGGGGCTCTGACAATGGTAGAGCCGAGGCGCGCCGAGAGATTTCTAGTTAATCTTTACGAGGGCAAGTACCGAATGATCGGACTATACTTGACGGTAGAGGAGAGTCGAGATTCGAAAATCCGGAGGCAAGCAGCTCAGTACTGCCTTAGAGCGGGCCACCTTTTCCGAAGGCCAGTAGGGTCGGGAATGCCCTTACGAGTAGTTTGTGATCCTGAGGAGAGGCAGACGATAGTTGCGGAACTTCACGACGGGGTAGTCGGAGGATACAGGGGAGTTAAAGGAACTACGAAAAGATACGCCGGCTGTACTGGTGGGAAGGGCAATATAAGGACATCGAGAGGTACTGTATGACATGCGAAGAGTGCCAGAAGAGAGCTCTTGTGAAATACAAAGAGCCGCTTCATCCATCCTATCCAACCCGACCAGGAGAGAAGGTACACATCGATCTAGTGAAAATGCCGAGGGGGGTAGGCAATATGAACTACGTCGTGAACATACGAGACGATTTCACTGGGTTCGTGGATGGTAGACCTATCAGGAGTAAGGCGGCAGAGGAAGTAAAGAACTTTGTCCTAGAGTACCTATCTAGGTATGGTTGTGTCAGCAAGATAGTGATGGACAGAGGGGCGGAATTCCTAGCCGACGAGGTTCAGAGCGTGTTTAGGAGAGCAGGTGCGAGAGTTTCGATAGCCATCGCCTATCACCCACAGTCAAACTCCCCAGTAGAGAGGGGACACCAGATTCTAATAGCGTCACTGTCCAAGTGGTGCAAGGGTAAGGACAGTGATTGGTCACGATATTTTCGATATGCGATATGGGTGGACAACGTCACGGTCCGGGCGAGTACCGGATACCCACCGTACACCTTGTGGTTTGGACGACATTGTCCACTTCCCATAGAATTTCACGTCGACAGTTGGATAACCATCGACTGGGCGGAGGAGATGTCCAGTGAGGAACTCTTAGCTGCCCGAACGAGACAAATAGCCTACGGTTTGGAAGATGACCTCATGACAGCGGCAGACCGTCTGGTAGTGGAAAGGGATAAGGGTAAAGAGAGATGGGATAAGAACGTGCGAATCAGGAAAGAGAGGGTGAGCGTAGGAGATATGGTCCTTTTCTACGATGCAGCGCTGGAAATGACCTGAACCGGAAAGCTTGCCAATAGATGGATGGGACCTTACAGAGTGGTTGAGGCACTTGACTGGGGTGCATATATGATAGCAGAACTAGATGGATCTAAGTGGAAGGACCCAGTGGCGGGGGCTAGGTTAAAGTTGTTTATGCCCAGGCCCACGCCCGCTTTATCGCTAACCAGCCCGAAAGGGAAAGGGAAAGCCATGATGGAGGATGGAGCGCCCTTGAGGCAAATCGAGGCAGGAGAGAGTTCCAAGAAAAGGAAAAGAATAGAGAAGAGAAAGGTAAAAGGGGTAGCTTTAGGAAGAAATAAGAGATGGTTATTCGTGCTCAAGCGAGCTAGATGGAGAGTTCGCGTTAGACGTACTGGCGGGTCGACGCCCTTCTCGGGGCAAAGACAGAAGAAAAAGAGAATCGTGCCGGGACCAAAAACCAGAAGAAGCAGGAGAGTCAAGAAGCATCTTCTTTGCCCCAGGACTCATAACAAACTCAAACATAAGACAATTGAACGCCGACGTGGGCGTCCTTTACGGGCTATCACCCTAAAGCTCGTCCGCTTCGTCTGACATAAGTTGCTAGGAGCTCGACGGGGGCGTCGAGAAGTGGTCCGGGCTAACTGTCAGGCGGCCACAAGCAGTGCCCCGCCTGAGATCCGCAGTACTGGGACTTAGGCTCAGGGACAAATCTGTGTTTTGATGGTAGTCTCGTATGACCAGGCAGCAAAATTAGGGGAACTCAGGGCACCCCTGATTTTGGGCGCACTGAGCATTATGAGTGACCCTCAAAGATGGCGAGATGGGTGGCCGCACTCGGCATGTCTAGGGACTCTCATTTCCGACCGTTCAGAGGGTTAGACCCGGATTGGCCTGCCGCGGAGAGGCATCAAGGGAGTTGACCTCGCCGCAACGTTTTTGCAGCGTATGATCGGGGTCAAAATAGCGCCTGAAATTTTTTGTCATTTTTGGTATCTAAATTAGAGATGGGAGAGGAGAGAAGATTGAGAACGGTAGAAGGGAAGAGAAAAACGTAATATCCTTAATTTCCTTGTTTTTTGCAGCATTTGAGTTTTGGGGAAAATACCCCGTTATTTTATGTTTTCCGGCAATGGAATCGAAAACAAAGGAAAA